GAGTCTCATTAAGTGTCCAGTTTAAGGGTATTACATAGAAACATACCAAGGGAACATGAATCAAATATGCACTTTTATTCATTTATAATAAACTCATAAAGTACATCATTCTGATTGAAGCTAAGGGCATAAAAACTGTCTAACATCATAGACAACAGTACAAAAGTCAAGGCCGTGATCAACGAAGTTCGATAGACACAGAGCATCCTGAAGCTGTGCAACCTATGCCATCGAACTCTCAGGGGTTAAATCAATCACCGCATCCAAGTACTATTGTTCTAGTTGACATTCCTGAGCCCATTGATATTGATACTTCTAATTGTGATCTGGATCTTCCTATTGCTAAGAGGAAAGGTGTCAAATCATGCATCACCCAATGGCCCTTTCCTTATCCTATGAGCATATTTCACTCTCTTTCCATGCTTTCCTCTTTTCTATTGGTAGTGTTTCCCTTCCTAAGAGTGTTGTAGAAGCTTTACTTACTCCTGAATGGACAGATGCAATGAAGGAGGAGATCAATGCTCTTTACAAAAATGGCACGTGGGAGCTGGTAGATCTTCCTAAAGGAAAGGAACCTATGGGGTGCAAATGGGTATTCTCTGTAAAACATAAGGCAGATGACATAGTGGAGAGGTACAAGGTCCGACTAGTTGCAAAAGGTTTTTCACATGTGTATGGAGTTGATTATGCGGAACCTTTGCACCTGTAGCAAAAATGAATTCTATTTGAGTCCTCCTTTCTTTAGCAGCAAATCTAGATTGGGAACTTCATTAGTTGGACATTAAAAATGCTTTTTTGAATAGTGACTTAGAAGAAGAAATGTATATGATCCAACCTCCAGATTTTTGTGCTAAAGGAGATGAGCAGAAAGTATGTAGACTGAAGAAATCTTTGTATGGTTTAAAACAGTCTCCAAGGGCTTGGTTCAGTAGGTTCCACAATCCAGTTCAACGGATGGGTTTTAAGCAGTGCCAATCTGATCACACACTCTTTGTGAAGAGAGAGCAAGGAAGAATGGTAGCTTTAATTATGTATGTTGATGACATTATTATCACTGTTGATTGGAACTCAAAGATACAAAGATTGAAGAGATTCTTGGCCACCCAATTTGAAGTGAAGGATTTGGGGCCTTTACATTATTTCCTTCAAATTGAAGTGGCCCACTCTAATCGGGGTATCTTCACCTCCCAAAGGATTTATGTTCTTGATCTCCTGAAAGATACAAGGAAGCTTGGAGCAGAACCTGCTGACACTCCTATAGATGTAAATCACAGGCTCGGGGATTGCAGTGATGAGCCCATAGCAGATATGAAGCAGTATCAAAGATTGGTGGGCAGACTTCTCTACCTATCTATGACAAGACCTTACATTGTATATGCAGTGGGAGTCCTTAGTCAGTCTATGCATTCTCCCAAGGCCACACACTTGGAGGTAGCACACAGAGTTCTTAGATATTTGAAGAAATTCCCTAGGACAGGACTCTTGTTTGGAAAACATGGGCATATGAGGGTTAAGGTTTACACTGATGCAGATTGGGTTGGTTTTGTGGATGACAGAAAATCTATCAGTGGCTATTGTGCTTTTGTTGGGGGAAACTTGGTTTCTTGGAGGAGTAAGAAACAAAGTGTAGTGGCCAGATCGAGTGCAGAAGTTGAATATAGAGCCATGTCTCATGGTGTGGCAAAACTTCTATGGATAAACAATCTCTTGGGTGAATTGGGCTTTCCTCTTAGTGATCCTATGTCATTATACTATGACAATAAGGCTGCTATTAACATTTCAACCAACCCTGTTCTCCATGTTAGAACTAAACATATAAAGGTTGACAAACACTTCATCAGGGAAAAATTGGAAAAAGGAGAACTTTGCACTCCCTACATCAGCTTTGAGGAACAACTGGCAGACATCCTTACTAAAGGATTAAATTCCATGCGGCACTATAATCTTTGTGACAAGTTGGGGATGATTGATATCTACGCCCAAACTTAAGGGGGAGTGATGTAATCTTAGTTATGTGCCGCAGGGGCATTTTTGTCTTTTTAACCTTTTATTTTTTATGTAGTCGCCCTAACTTATAAATACAAATCCTGGGCATTGCCACTTTATGTTTTTTGGTCTAAATATTTCGCCTCTTTCTTCTCTCCTCTTTTCTTCTTCTTCTTTCTTCTTCCTTCTTCTTCTCTTCTTCTCCTCTCATCTCTTGATCGAGATCTTTCTTCTTGCCGAAATCACATATCAATAGTCATCTTACTAACTGATAAAAGATTGCAATGGAAATCTAGTATGCATAGCACATCGGCACCATGGTGCCATTTGGAAGCTGTACAGGTCTCACATCACTGTGATTATCAGATGTAGAGGACCTTAGGAATGTCATGGTCCGATGCACCACTATCAATTATCCATGTCCATTTATTTTCAAGAATGCCTTGGAGTTCAGTGGCTTTACCAGCAAAATTGGATGAATTAGGATGTTTATCGCTGTTGGAATTCAGCAGATCCATTAACTGTTGATATTGTTCTGTTGTAAGACTCACGAATGATGATGATCTTGTTTTAGTTGATGTAGCTTGAGCAGAGGAGGAAGACGAACGAGGGTTCTACTTCTTTCCTCGTGACTCCTAATTGGTTGGATATCCAACCAATTCATAACATTTATCTTTAATATAACCAATGTGTTTGCAGTGGTCACACTTCATCTTAGAACGCCCTTGATTATGTTGAGCTTAAGAGTTGATTGGAGTGCTTCCAACATGCAAGGCTGCTACCTCTGTCTAAGGAGTTCGTCTGCTTACAAATGTCTAATACTTTTCTTCTTGAATGACCATTGCATAAACCCGACTGATACTTGGCAGTGGATTTAGGCTCAAGATGTTGTTCGAATGGTGTTGTAACAATCATTTAATCCAAGAAGAAACTTAAACACTTTTTCTCATTCCTTATCAGCCATGAATTCTTTTGTTGCTCCCCAGGTGCATGATCCACAGGTGCAACTTGGAATCTGGAAGTAAACAGAGAGCTCATCCCATAAAGATTTCAGTTTAGTGAAGTAGGCAGAGATCAGAAAATTATCTTTCCTGATTAAGGCCAATTCTCGTTTGAGATGAAAGATTCGAGGAGTGTTCCTTTGTGAAAAACTTTCTTCAGGATCATGCCAGATATCAGTGAAGCAATCCACATAAGCTACATTGTCGTGAAGATCCCATGCAAGTGAGTTGAAGAGCCATGTGATGACCAGAGAATTGCATTTCCTCCATGCAAATTGGTCAGGTGAAGATTCATCAAGTTTCTTAAGAGATCCATCAACAAAGGCCATCTTGTTCTTGGACAGCAGGGCATTGGACATTGCCCTCTTCCAGATTGGGTAATTCTCTTCATTGAGGAGAAAGGAGATCAGCACTATTCTAGAATGATCTGAGGGATGTAAGTAGTACGGGGATTTGGGATCAGAAAGATTGTCGATTGTGTAACCTCCAACAGCAATGGATTTTGGTCAAGAATGATTCCAAGATCAATATTCGAGCAAACTCTGATACCATGCAAAACTTTATTGTAGATGCAAAAGTTTATCACAGATGACAAAGTTTCATCGCAAGAGGCATTTGTATGATGAAGAATGGAAAGGGTGTTAGGTGTGAGTGAAAACCGAGAATACTTTCATTTACTTTTGGTGTTAAATATTTATACACGTAAACATGCCATAACAGAACAAGCTGGACAGCTGAACAAGTGGGCTGCCACTTGTAACGACTTTTAACAGATTCTAACAACTTCAAAACTACTAAACCGATTCTTGTAACTACTTAACTTCTAAGACAATGATATTTGAAATGAGGTTGCAGGTAATAATACCAAAAGGGTTGCGGTTCAGTGTTTTGTTTTGGAATAACAACTAATGGTAGATCAACTCCAACTTCTAATGTATGGATCATAAATTTTCCAATGCAAGGGGCTTGAGATCGGTGATGACCAAGATCTTTAAACCTTCACTCGTTAAAGAACAATTTAGAGAGAGTAAAACAGAGTACCATTCTTGTTGAAAAACCAATCAGAATAAGTTTAGGTAGAGATGATCTAGAGCTACTACTAATGAGAACAATGGAGATTCAATGGTATCTTGTGGTGGGTTCTATTGGTATGCGTTAAAGGTTACAACAACCTTAGATTCCCACTAGTTGCAAGAGTTAATGAAAAAAAACTAAGGAGCTGCAGCAAGGAGATGGAGAGAATGGGAAGAAAGGGGAAGGAAAGAAGGGATAAGGGAGAGAAGAAGAAAGATAGAGAAAGAAAGAGAGATGGTGGTGGTGATAGGCTTGAAATCGGTTGTTTGGTGGTGATGAATGCAAGGAATCGGGAAGAAGAAGAAGAAGAACGTAGAAGGAAAGAAAGGACAAAATAGAGAATAAGAAGAAAGGTAGAAAAAAGTGGGGGTACGGTGCCAAGTTGAGTTGTAGCGGTGGAATAGAGAGGAAGAAAAAGAAGTAAAAGAAGTAAGAAGTCGAGCTTCTCATGAGCCATTCGAGCTCACCTCATGAGGCTTGTGAGCCTAGTATAATAAATAATATTTTTTATTATACATACATACATGGTTTTTAGAACCGAACCGATCAGGACACCGTTTTTTGGTTCGACGATTCAACCATCTAGGTCAAACGGTTTGACCCGTAATGTCATAAATAAATAGAAAAATAAAAAATACTTATATAATAAAAATACCATAGAAATTTAATTAAAATACAAAAAAATACACAAAAAATATAGGAAAAAGAACAATACATGAAAAAATAAAATATCTAAATATAAAAATAATAAAATATAGAAAATATAGAAAATATAAAAAATACAGAAAAATTTCCAAAAAATATAGAAAATTTTCCAAAAATATAAAAATGATTCCAAAAAATTCCAACTGTAGTACTTAGACCCTTTGGCCTACCTGAAGCATCCATGCCAAAAGATATGTAATCTAACAACCAAAAACCCAATGCCCTAACGCAAGGCAGCTTGGATCCATCTTTCCTTGGGGTAGTCTAATAATCTATAGTTTTGTACAGATCTGTATTTCAAAAAGATCTGTAGTTTTGTACATTCTTCAATAAAGGGGTAGTCTAATAAATATTAGTAATATACTTATAGCTGCAACCAAACACCACAACTTACATATATATGAAGGTCTTTAAGAACAGAATTGCTACTGACTAATTGTTAAGAACTCATTCAATAGATTTTGTATGTTCAAGAAGAGGATTAAACAACCACCTTGTCTCCTTTTTGCTTCAGATTTTGCAAAGAATTCCATCAATTCATCAATCATTATAAACACAGGTTCTTCCTCTTCTTCTTCTTCTTCTTCTTCTTCTTCTTCTTCCATCAAGTCCTCTTCCCCCTACTTATTAGAAAATACCCATTATAACAACTCAATGCACCTTACCGTTAGTTAGATAAATAAAATTTTTAATTAACAGAAATAAGTTATAACTTATAATTGAGAAACAAAATCATTCCTTGAGAAATACCCATTATAACAGCTCAATGCACCTTGCCATTAGCTATTTCAGGCTTTTAGCTTCTACTTTCTTTGAGTTTCTGACAAGCCCTTTTAACCTGTATTCCAAATATGGAAAGAAAAAGGTAAGAAAAACTTCTACCAGGCCATAAGCAATGCAAACTATAAAAGGAGTACTTTCTTTCACCTTATGTAAAGGGACCCCTTTAGATGGTCAAGTCTTTCAAAGTTTCCTCTGGACTTCCTGTTCAAAAACACTAAGAAGACAAGAAAATAAATTTTGCAAAAGATTCTATTCATATTGCTATAACATCGTGCTTTCTTAATTCATCAAACATAATACTTAGATACTCAAAAATAAAATGATCATAAACATAAGTAACAAAAAGATCAAAAACCAAGTTCACCAAGTATTAAACATAAATCAAAACTTCAAGTTCAACATAGAGTTTGGTTCACTAATCTAATCATCCAAATTCTCCAGATATGTTGGCCCCGCTTCTCAATGGTAACAACTATCAACCAAAGCCATGTGGTATTTCACCATCATCTTCATCTTCATCTTCGAGAGGTTGTGTTTCATCTACATCTCCAACTTGGGTGTTGGCTGCATCTTCCTCCATGATTCCCCATTGCTCAATGAAAAATTCATCATCATCTAAAGAACGAAAATAGAAAATTAGAACTCAAAAAATAGCTAAAATAATCAAGTATCAAAATGTCATTTGAGATAATATCAATGATAGTTACCATTAGTCCTAGCTCTTTTTCTTGATGGTGATTCCATTATTGGAAATGTTGTCTCATCAAGTTTAAACATATCATCATTCTCATTACCATCAAGTAATGGAGGATCCTCATCATCGTGCACTATCCAGTCTTCCACAACCTCAAAATGTTCATGCCCAATTGGGTCAAGACTTTCAGTTTTTCTCCTACAAATCAATAAATGATACATTAGATGCAATGCAAGCATTAAAAAAAAGAATCATGAAACATAAAAGTTAAAACACTTACCCATCCATCACATGCAGGTTGCAATGAACATATACTAGGTCATTGAGCCTCTGGTGCTCTAACCTATTCCTTCTCTTCGTGTGTATACATTCAAAAACACTCCAATTGCGTTTACATCCAAATGAGCTACACATCTGGCTAAAGATCCGTACATCAATCATTTTCAAATTTAGAGTGTCACAACCAAATCTCGACCACCATTCATCTATATACAATGAAATAGAGTTAATTTAATTTATAAAATAAAATTAAAAATTGAAATAATAAACATGTTATAAGAAAAAAATATTTATTACATGGAGGCATTGACTTAAATGTCTTCACTAAGAAAGGTCTTCCAAAATTACCACGACAATTTTCAAAAAGAGTAAGATATTTGTTCAGCTTTATCTCCACATCATCTTATTTGATTGCAAGCTTTTCAATGACATCAAAAACTGTAGACATAATGATCGGGGATTTAACTTTTGATTTTGGATCATATTGGAAGGCCGGGTTAAAATAATACCCTGCAAGATGAAGCCTCTGACCCATTTTTATATTCCATCTTCTATCAATAATGTCTATGATTGGGCCATATTCAGCTTTCTTATAATTAAAAAAAAAAATTCAGTGATTCTTTTGCCTTCAACATTGCATGATACATATACCCCATTGTAGGCCTAAACTCAGAATCTGCAAGTCTCAATGCACTAACAAGAGGTGATGTGAAACCCACAATCATTTTGCATTGTGCCCAAAATTTAAAATCCAAAACTATTTGTATTACTTTCATCCCCTTTGCATCTTTTACATACGTAGAATCAATAAAACTCCGATCTGTCAAAAAATTTTGAAGGGATGAGAGATCCATCACATGGATGCCCAAATCTTGCGGAATAGGGTGGGCGAATTTCAAAAATTTCTCTCCCTTCAGCTAGGAATCGTATTCCCTATTTTAGAAAAATCATACTTTTCAATGATCAATCTTGAACTATAAACTAAACCAAATTTGAAACGAAACAGTTGGAGAGGGATATACCTGATACAGAGAAACAATATCTCTCAATGGAGGTGTTCACGCCCAAAGAAGATCACTAAAGACTGCTCCCACTAAAGATGACACAGTGGATGGAGGAGCAGAATCAGTAGTATCCATCCCACGAACCGAATTCTTCAGCAAGAATCCAATGGAGGCAGTGAGCACAACTTCCTCTCACCCTTTCACCAAAGACTGATGTCAAGATCCAATCTTGACCACTCTTATAATGTTGGAGAACGAAATGGCAGTATGGCGGCGGCAGGAAGGGATCATAGGGAGAAGGCGCAGTCACACTGTGTATTCTTCTCTCTTTAATTTGAGATCAGGTATCTCTGGAATTTTTGGGATGGTTTGGATGGTTCGCCCCCTCCTGTTTTTATAGGCTTAAAGAGATCAGCTCCTGATCCTATCAGGAGTTTCCTAATTCAGATCATTATCTGAATTTGGACTCTCTTTAAGTGATAAGGATAAGACCCTTATCTTATCTGCAGATTAGATCAGCCTTCTCCTGATCTTATCA